TCTGCATGCATTTAGGTAGCACTTGGTTGAAACATCCCTAATGAAGGTCTGTCATTTCTGTGCTTACGTGATTGGCAGGGTCTACGAACTCTGTACGAATACAAAAAAGAATTATCACTTCTTTCCACGTTATGCAGTACGGTGACATAAAATCCTTGCTACAGAAGAAACTGTACAAAATGTAGACAATATCTTTGCACTTTTTCATGGGCAAGATCCCAATCATTTCCTAGGCAATTATGAACGCAGATACACATTATGAGCACAACAGCATTTCTACAAAATTGCTATAAAACTTTACTAAGTTGTTATTTAAATAATTGTTTCCATCTCATTGTTAAGGAAAACATATTGCACTTTAATGCTATTTCAAAGACATAATATATATATATATATAGTTAATTTGAAGAATTCTGCTCCAAGCTATTCTTCAAAATAAATACATACATACATAAATAAAAATAATTTTGAACCTCAACAGATTAAACAGACATAAAAATGATGAGCAAGTTCAATTTAAAAAAAAAAATCAATTTTTCTTTTCTTTCTTTACCAGTCTCAATACTTTTTAGTTTTATATAGTTGCTGTGTCAGTCTTAACCAAGAATGATAACACAAGTGTTCTGTTCTTTGATGCTTCTAATACTAGTCCCAGAGGAAAAACTCAATACTAAGGAAAGTGAAAGAAAAAAGCAAGTCAACAAACAAACAAGCTAAATTAAGTAAACTTTTCTCAACCTCCGAAAAAGTTCAGCTCCAGTTTTTAGTGATGAACCTACATTTTTTATCATTCTCTGTTTGCAAAATGTGACACACAGTGACATTATAAAATCAGTAGTTGCTAACCTGAATAGAGTCTGTTAAAAAATTTGATTTATAATTGGTGTTTGTAGGATTCCATTACTGAGGAGTTGCACTTACATACAGAATATTTGTACATTTTTTTCCCCTTTTTATTCACTTTAATCCAGAAAACCTGATGGCCCAAATCAGAAGATAAGAAAAGAGTTTAGTAATGTGTATAAATCAATTTAGGACTAAGCATATTTACCTTGACAAGCTGGAACTGGTACATCCCATGTATAATATCCATGTGGAGATTTCCTGCACACAGCAGTACTTTTCCCAACAAGCCTAAAACCTCGATCACAAGCCCAACGAACGACACTGTTTAGCTGTCCACCTGTCTGACTGACAATGAATCCATGGGGAGGGGACTCTGGAGTACTGCAATAAAGAGCTTTAAAAGAAAACAATATCCTGTGTTAAATTTAGTACCTAAATCTGATAATCTTATTCAATTTTTTCACAATCTCTTACTAAATTCTGCAAGTACATGTCTGTGCTATAGGAGGGAACTTTTCAAAATGCAGCCATCTTTGGAAGGCCTGGAAGACCCTCTTGAGAAATGGGGGTGGCTAATGGATACGTAGGATGTACCTTGAGGATGAGGGAAGTAACCACTATCCTAGCAAGTAGGTTTGAGAGTGTGTGGGATGTTGCCCCCCTCCCCCCGGGGGGGTGAGTTCTATGAGACTCTTTGTGAGGAGGGGCAGAATCTGCTTGTCTGAACTGGTGTGCTCAGTAGAAAACATTGACTGATCAAGGCTCCTGCTGTCAGCGTAAAAAAAATTCTATCCAGTATCCCAGGAACTGAAAGAGGTCCCAGGAAATTTTAATAACTTCTCTCTCAACCAGAGACACATGCACCCTGATCTGAGGCCCTGATGGGGGAAAAAAAATGTAAATTGGATCCAAATATAAATTGTGGATCCACAAGTCCATTGGATCCATCCAGAGGCCCAATGAAGGTGTATTCATCCAGTACTGATAGCACCTCTCAGAGGGTTGAATAGCTACAGTAAGAAGGTAGTGGATCCCGTGTAACCTAGAGTTTCAGGCATGAATATCAAGAACTGAGCATTAAGAATTGAAACAGAGTGGAGGTATCCAGAAGCAGTTATTTCAGTTTAGATTTTTTTCCTTCTTTTTTGGTTCCCTATTACAAACTCAGAATACAAGGAGTTCTCAGGGACGGTAAAGCTGGTTTGCAGCTAATTTGCCATTAAGGAGCAGTATAAGGTACATCTATTGTGGTTTTTAATGTTTTCTTGTAAGGTTTTCATTCATTGTTTGTTATCCATTTGTTGTTGTAGTAAAAAGATAATTGGACCTTTTTTGTTCATTTCTAGTCACTGAGGCAAATTTAATGCCAAGTACCCCACACAAGGTACTACTGGTTTATAGATGTATATAGTGAGCCCAGAGGGGCTGCGCACTTAAAATTGTATAATCCTTATACAAGGACTAATAAAACATGCTAAAGGCCCTTGTTCTGCCCCCTTATCTACAATGAAGAGTAATTTCTTCAGGAAGTGATATTACTGAAAGTAAACCATAAGACTTTTATAAGTCTTCAGGGATTTGGATGCAAGATGGCAAAGATGAAGTCATTACTCGTTTGCATAACTGTACAATACTAATTTCTCAGTTAAATAACATAACACACAAATATTTTGTCCTGTGACAATTTAAAAATAATTATATAAATAGTTACTATTAAGCAAAATGCTCTGAATGAATCAAAAGAGCAAAGTATAAACAAAGATTTTTTTGTTTCAGCTTATATTTCTTATATTCATAACTTCTTTTCTATAAAGTCAACAAGAACTAATGAACTAATACAAATTTAGTTAATACAGGCTTAACTTTATTTTTATCATGAAAAACAGGGATCCATCCTGTTTGCTGTTGGTTTCTGCAGTATTTGCTAGTGACATAAAACCAAGTCACCTCCTTCCCTCCCTGTGGTCCACCAACCATTATTTCCAGCTGAAGTGTTGAGAATCTGCTTTACATATTCCTTATAAACAGAGCCTTAGGGTTCTCTTTCCAAACCCTACAAAGGATCAAGGAGGTCTCACGGATAGAGAAAATAAATACATTGTAATATGTTGTGTCTAGCCATCGGTGAACTCCATCTGACTACACTGTAACCACATTTTATCTCCCAAAAATCTGCTTCCCTTCCCTTCCCTTCCCTTCCCTTCCCTTCCCTTCCCTTCCCTTCCCTTCCTAAGTAGTAAGGAGCAGACCCTATTTGACAGACTTTTGTGCCAAGGCTAATTATTTTCCTGCTTTATTTGAATTAACTGAAAATGGAGATGAGACACAAATGCATAGTAAATAGAAAGTTTCCAGATTTATTCTCCACTGCTTTGTCTCCTTTACAAAGTGAAGTAATATACTGCTACTAATGTCCTCAGTATTGACAGTTACATTGTTTTACAAGTGATTCTCCCAGTATTTTTAGTCCACAGTACTGTCTTTAATTGCCTACGGATTTTTTGCAAGAGTCCAATGTTAGAATCATTAATGAAAACCTAAACTTTGTGTAATCCCCATGACAATTCCTCAAAAAAAAAAAAAAATGTATGTTGTGTGTAATTATAGCATTTAGGTGTTAAGTATCAACCTATGTTTATGTCAATTAACATATTCAATTGAAGCAATGAGGGTAAGTTTTTATTTTTCTCTTTGACACATTCTTTGCTGCAATATCAAGTGTCTTTCTACTTCTTCTGAACTTTAAATTTAATGGATCAAATGCTTCTTCTAAACTTTTGGCTGAAATCACCACGAAGGCACAAGAAGAAACAATGTATTCATTGGTGGAAAGTATTCCAGTAATTGAATAGAAATTAAATACCAATCACTTGTTTTCCTATGACAATAATTCAGGCTCTTGCCATGAGAAGGTCCATGCTGCTATGTCATACAAGGATGGCAGGATGGAAGGCAGAGCATTCCTCAATAATCTGGAGGCAATGACTACCTTTGTTGTATTTATCCATCTTTTGTTTAATCTTTGTTGCTTCTTTTTCTGTGAATAAAGTAGCAGCCAGGAGTCGTGCCAGGTAGCAATACTGAAGATTTAACCAATATGATACTTGTTTATCAAACAATGGCAAAATATGTACTGTATTTAGGGTTCCATCATTAGAACAAGTCTGGTCGCTTCCCCAGCACAGCACTTCTCTTATGCCCTGCTCTGTGTACATTGCAGGAACTCTGTCCCCTTTGGTTAGAAGTCAAATTAAGTCATGTCCAGATTTAATGAAAAACAAGACCCCAGGTCACTACTATTGTTGTTGTTTTTGTTCTGAACATTACAAATTTAAGCACAGACTCTTTATAAGAGCATATTTTTTTTATAAATCCCACTTAGAATATTACTTTACACTGAATCAATTTTATCTGGTTCAAATATAAAACATATTTGATTTCCTTTTGTATTTTGAAAGTCTAGTGACATAAAACCAGCCTAGAGCATCTTTTAACATAAGCAAGTCTGTTCCACAATGAAGTTATGTAGACTGGGGAAATATACACAGATACACATTTGACGTACATACCTATATATCTTATCCTGAAACCCTTTTTGTTTGTGCCGTGATCTGCTGACCAACGAAGAAACACTTCATGACTATTGCTGGTTATATTGAGAGTGGATGAGTAGTCTCCACTAAGGGAAATAAGCAATGGGCTGTGACTATTTGGACCTGGATACAAGAAGATGAAAAAAAGGAAAAATGAAAACTTTAAAATTAGCAATATAAAAAATGTACCTTAAGCAACTGGTAAATGAAAGAAATGTAATAATGGAGTTTACAGTAGCGACATGCAGTGTATTACAGAATGAATTGCACATGCGTTCATTTTTAAACATACAAGTAATGTAGGTTGGAAACAAATGATGTAATCCAATACTTCTCACCAAGTTAAAGAATGCTTATTTAGACCAAGGGTTGGCAATGTACAGTCCATGGGCTGGATCTGGCTCACAAAGGGCTTGGATCAGCCTATGAAGGTCTGATTTGGAAGCGGGGTGGGAGGCATGGGAGAAATTAATGTGGCAACTTAAAGCCTCTTGTTCTGTGCCCTTGACACTACATTTGTCATTCCCCTTTGACATTTGGCATGGTTTTTGGTGGCACCCAGTAAGCAGAGGGCTGCACAGAGCAGGGAGGGGATCAGAGCAGCAGGGGACTGAGGGTAGGGGTGGGTGATAGGCAGCCCATGGCAGCAGCTATGTTGCAAATGCCCAGCCTGTCACTCCAAAAGGTTGTTGACCTCTAGTTAGAGAAATGAATAAAAAAACAAAGAAGCAAAATAGTAATGGCATGCACAAATCTTAAGGATTTAGGGGTGGTAAAGGAATATATATAAAAGAGTATCTAAAGTTGTGAATTGTGTAGTTACCATCAAACACCTCAAGTATATCAAATTCCTTTTCTGTCTGGAAGAATTCAAAGAACATGCTGATGTTGTAACCCTTTTCCACAGTTATGGTCCATGCACACATCTGGAGGTTTGGGTAGCTGTCAGGGTAACCAGGGCTCAATATGATGCCTGTTGAATCTAGGCGCATTTCATTGGCAGGGCAAAGCACTGTGAAGCACAAAGATTATTTCACAATCTCTAGTAAGAACTATTTTTTTTATGAGTGAAATGATATTTTTCTAACTTCTAAGGATCTGCCTAGTAATTTCATTTCCATAACAGGGAACACCATCACACAGTTAATTAAGGAGAAGCAGACAAAACTTGTACAGCATTAGCGAGTATTTTTAAGCCTGCCATGAAAAACAGGGTAAGCCTGAGAAATCACTGACTGTATTTTCTTTATATTATCTAAATGACATACTGTTCTTTCAGACTGTGGGTTAAATAAGTCTTGCTGGATTGTTCAGACAGTAAACTACAGCATTTTATTACTTTTCATAATAATAATAGATATGAAAATACTGTGAACCAAACTAGAAGGCATCAGTGTAGTCTCTGGTTATCAGACTATAAATAACAAATCAGACATAGTTTATTTGAAAGACATCATTATTAATTTAACAAAAAATATTTTTTGCCTTTGGCCTATAATAATATTTTTCCATGTTTGCAATTCCTAGATTGTCTGTTGCTTTGATCAGCAATGAAATTGACTCAAAATTGCTGTCAGTTCTCATGCATCATTTGGTGCCCCTTCTTTGATTCAGTGTCTCATAGCACAGATCGAGAAGGAGAACTTTCTAGTCTATTCCTGGCTCTGCCACTGACTCTGCCTGATGTCGGGCAGGTCAACTAATCTTTCCC